TTAAATAACGACGTACATTAGTGACGGACATACATCAATAGCTAAATGAAAGCGAATAGCGATAAGATAGTGATCGTTAGAATTAGTGATAGAATATAGATAGAATAACAACGGTTTATTAGCAACCAACGCTAACTCGTCACTAAATTTGGCGAGTGAAATATTTTAAGGAGTCTTAGAGATGGTTTAGTGGTGGATTTTTTAGGAAAAATAACTATAGAATGGCAAATTCATTACTATTTTCAATGTCATGATTTAGCGATGAATATTCCATCGCTAAAAGACATATCCTTAACAATTTAGCATCGAAAAATCCATCACCAAAGGTGAGAATTTAGGAAAAATTAAGCGGATTTTTTTAAAGATAAAATTGCCTAATTTATGATGGATTAGTGACGGACATTGCCAAATTTACGACGCATTAGCGACGAACTTTTACTTTCATCGCTATATGTGAAACAATGGGTGGCTAGTTAAGCAAAATTAGTCGTCATTTTGATACGGATTAGCAATGGACTTGAGTGTTCATTGCTAAATAGTGATAGATCAATGAGAGGATCATGTCCGTAGCTATTTTTTAGCTCTAGTTTAGCCCTCTTCTTCTTCCTCCTCGCCTTATTTTCTTCTCCCCGTCCTTTTCCTACTACAACTGCCATTCTCCCAACCCTTCCATACCACCACCAAACTCAACTTCTTCACTCTCAATCGATCCACTCCACTTCTTCACTCTTAATCGATCCACACCCACTCTAAGGTTTTTTCTCTAAAAAAACTCTTTTTTTCTTCTCGTTTCTTGGTGTAGTTCCAATTGAATTAGGCTATTTTTTCTCTTTTATTTTCTTAATTAAAGTTAATAATTTATTTTAATTATTAGGTTAATTTAAGTTTAATTACTCAATTTATGATTGTGTATATATTTACTTGTTATTTTGTTGATTTATTTATTAAATTGTTAATTTTTATTAATTGTTAGGTTAACTAGTTGATTAATTTGTTAAATAATTAAATTTTCTTAATTATTAGTTTATTTAGTTAATTAATTATAATTTAAATTTAATCAAAAAATTTTAATTAATTGAGTTAATTTTATTTAAATTTAGTTAACTAATTAGGTTAATTATGTTTAATTAATTGAATTAGACTAAATTTCTTAATTAATTATTTAATTTTTCTCAATTAAGTTAATTTAATTTTTATTTTAAATTTATTTTGGTTAGAATTAGAATTAATTAAGTTAATTTTATTTATAATTAATTAATTAATTAGCTTGATTTTGTTTAATTTGTTGAATTAAAAATTTATTTACATTAGAAATTGTTAATTAATTATTATTTTAAATTTGATTTGATTAGAATTATAATTAATTAATTTAATTTAATTTATTTTTAATTTTTTAATTATGTTAGTTATGGTTAATTGGTTAAATTAAAACTTTATTTATATTAGAAATTATTAATTAATTGTTATTTTAATTTAATTTTGATTAGAAATAGAATTAATTAAGTTAATTAGAGTTATATTTAATTAATCATTTAAGTTAATTTTATTTAATTGGTTGAATTGAAACTTTATTTATATTAAAAATTAGAAGTTTATTGTTATTTTAAATTTAATTTGGTTAGAATTAGAATTAATCAAGTTAATTAGATTTATAATTAATTAATGAATTAATTAGGTTAATTTTTTTAATTGATTGAATAAAAACTTTATTTATATTAAAACTTAGAAGTTTATTATTATTTTAAATTTAATTTGGTTAGAATTAGAATTAATTAAGTTCATAATTAGGTTAATTTTGTTTAATTGGTTGGATTAAAAATTTACTTATATTAAAAATTAGAATTTTATTTTATTTTAAATTTAATTTGGTTAGAATTAGAATTAATTAAGTTAATTATATTTATATTTAATTAATTAATTAGGTTAATTTTGTTTAATTGGTTGAATTAAAATTTTATTTATATTAAAACTTACAAGTGTATTGTTATTTTAAATTTAATTTGATTAGAATTATAATTAATTAGTTTAATTATTTCTTATATAATTATTAAAATGTGCTGAGATATGCCATAGTGTATCAAACTCAAAAGGTCGGAGACCTTCAAGAATTAAGGAGAAATAAGGTTGGTTTAATGTTCTACGATGGAGCTGAAAGGATGAGTTTGAGATTTAATTTCGATGAAGTATTCGAGACAATTATTGATCTCGGTATGTGTAAATTGATTATTGGTTGATTGAATTTGTTGTTGGTGTGATGATTTAGAGTATTTGTTAATTAGAAAAGGTGCACTTTACAAGAGAAATTCTACCAAAAATTTATTAGCTATTTAGAAAAATTATTAATTAAATAATTTTATATTATCTCAAAAATATAGAAATAAAATAATGAGGTTCGATAGTGAATGAATGTATGTTAGGTGTATAGATGGGTATTTAAATGATAATTTCATGAATGGGATTAAAGAATTTACTACATTTGATATTACTCATCCTCAATGTATGGATGAAAGAAAGTTATAGAAATATTTGAAGCTAATGAAAAAGATGAGAGTGAATATGTATCACGATCAACCGAAAGAGAGGAAAAATTAAAAGATTGTTATGATAGTTGTAATTAAAAATCAATTTTATTTTTTATATTCATTAAACTATAACATTTTATCTATTGTGTATTTTTTTTTTTAATGTTTGTTGTGCATTTTAGACGTGTTGAATTTTTTTATTTTAATTCATAATAATTTATAATATATTTTCTATCAAATTATTATTTATTTGTTAAATTATTTCGGGTGTTATTCTTGAGTTATGCCTCGTGGATCGGGCGAGATATGATCATAGTGTCAATGATTGTGGCTCGATGTTAACCGTACGATTGATACCGGTGGTGTATGCGGACATGGCACTATTAGTCTAACTATGCAAGGCCGCAAACTTGATAGTGGTGTCAATACATCCGCATCCCCTCCGGTAGTGCCCCGGTCGATAGTGTCCCCTGCCGTGGATGATCCCACTGCTATTTCCTCAACTCCAAGAAGTTCTACTAGATCTAAAATGGATGGACCATTTGGGTCATGAATAATTGATAAGTAATTTGTTTTGCTTGAAATAATTAATTTTATATTTTTGTATATTATATTAGAATCATTATTTCACTTATTTATTATTTGTTTGTTTTGTTCGATAGTTTGGTTCTATCAAGCAAATGCTCTATAAAAATTATCGTAATTTTCAAGGATCGGTTAAACGTCGCTAACTTCATATGAAAGTTTGTCTCCATAATGACGAAATACCTCTATTTTAATGAATTTATGGTAATATATTAATTATTTGCTTATATGTCATTTAAATTGTTAATTTACCATGAAAAGTACTAATATTATTCTTTTCCTTAATCTATAAGTACTTTTTATAGGATGCGAGCGTCGACGCACTTATTAAGGATGCGTGGTAGAGTCCGGCTAGGAGGTGGTACGATGACATGCTTAACAAGCTGAAGCATAAAAGTAACAAACCTATGATTATTAAACAAGAGGTATGGGAAGCATGGCATCGGAAATGGAACACTTCTAAGTATCAAGCCCAATCTCGGCAATCGTCTCGGAATCGCATATCGAAGACAAGTGGTGTCGATGCTAGCCCATCCAAGCATACTAGAGGATCTATCTTTTTTATCGAGCACACTAAGCATTGGTAAATACTATATTATCCATTGTGTTTTAAATTAATTTTTATATTTATTTCATGTCATATTATTTTGTTTATTTGTTCGACATAATCAATTGAGTCGTATTTCAAATCCTTACGAGCTATTCATGATTACTCACAAGCGTAAGGATGGGAAATTTGTCGACAATCAATTTTAGATAGTAATGGTAAGATTTTATATTTTTTAAAATATATGTATATCTATCAATATAATTTTAAAAATATATTTATGATTTAATATTATAATTATTTCAATGACTTTAAAGCGCATGCGAGCAATGCAATAAGCATCCGTTAAGAAGTGACATGAGGGTGATACATCATCTCAAGATATTGACATGTTCAAGATATATTTGGATGTTGTTGGAGGAGAGAAAAAGTAGAGAGTGTACGATATTAGAACTTATGCATCTCGAGTGTTACTCACATTTTGGCTAGCTCCTTCTCTACTATTTTACGATATCTTGATGGTAATATCTAAGAGATTTCTACCCGATACGAAAATAGGATCAAGAGGATGGAGGCTACCATCTAGTAATAGGTCAATCAAATTAGCAGTATACAAACTCGATTACAAAGAGTTATATTTGTTAGAGAACTTCTAATTGCCTCTCGTCCCTCTTGCCGACCTTCCTACAACCAAGCTATCGAGTCATTCCTTTTAACGACCAAGCAATCGAAAAATAATGTAAGAGACGATGATAATAAGGACTAAATTTCTTTTTTTGTGTAAAAAAGTTTTAAATGTGTTTATATATCTTAACACATTTATATATTTATTTAATTTTAATTTTAATTTTATTAAAAAATATATCATGTTTTAATAATGTGTTATTTATAGATATTTGTTATTACAATTCTCAATAAACGGCTATTGATTTTTTTTAAAAAAAGAAAAAATTAGCGACAGATTTAGCGATGGAATTGTGAGGATATTAGCGATTATAATTTAGGGACTCGCTCATTCCATCTTTATTTAGCAACGGATTTAAGAGAAAATAGCAACGGTTTGACAACGGATATATGACTTTAGAAGCCACTTATTTAGATCAACGATGAAAGGTCAATAATTTAGCGACTAAAGAAAAATTTAGTTGCTAAAAAAATAACAACTACCGTATTAACGATAGAATTCATATTATCTTTAACCCATCATTAATTATATACAACGAGTGATTTTTTGATAAAAAGTGATGAAAAAATCTATCACTATTTAGTGAAATTCGATAGTGATATATTTAACTATAAAATCTACACGAGGAGACTGGATGGTATAGGAGCGGATCAATGAATAAATGACACATGCAAGCAGGAAAGAAGGTTCTAAATCAAGAAGATCATTGCTCGTTGGAATACATGCGATGATTACTTCGTTTGGGCTTGAAAGGGCTAAATTTCATTATCAGATTCTAATTAATAGCAAGATTTCACATGGGGATCAGAGCTTTGAAATTCTGAACCCGTTTAATTTGTTATTAAAACAGAAAGGTAAATCACTGAACCCACCTTTTGACCTTTTTAATGTAAAAACAGAAAATCTAAGTTTGAAATATAAATAAAAAGAGACGCGAAAAAAGTGAAAAACCAACAGTATAAACTATAAAATGCGTACTACTTATATCATATTTCAAACCTCGTTTTGGCGATGGAAAAAAGTTTAATGGGTGGGTCAAGAATTCCGGTACTTTATAAAATGGACTTCAATTATAAATGCTGTTAATTTTATCATCGATGATTTTTTTGTATGAATTTTACTTTCAATTTTTCATAAACTCTTAATTAAAAAGTTTTATATATTTTAAAAACTTTCTATCGATATTTTTTTTTTTTTTGGGGGGGGGGGGGGGGGGGGGGTAGGAAATGATATCATTTTTAGGGAACTTAACACTCTAAGTAATTCTAACAATGTGTCTTTAATTGAAAAATCAAAATAATTAGAGGATAAATTGATACTACTTCAATAGTTTGGGGATATATTTAAGCTTTGCCCTTATAAAAATGCAAAAACCAATAAAACTATTGAATTTAAATAAAATAACCAAAAATTTAGTTAAGTCAAATTTAATTAGAATTATTGTACCAAAAAAACACACAACTTTATATTTTTTTAATCGTATTAGTATTAGTATGATCTTTTAATATTAAATATAAAATACACAAACTAAATTTATATCAAATATATTAGCAAGCATGATTTTTTCAATCAAAATTCTCATATTACGTCAAATGTTAACGAAATTTTTCTCTTATCAGATCATATATTAATAAAATTTTAGATGAAAAAAATAATATGTGCTAATATGATTAATAAAAATATAATTTATATATGTTCTATCCAATATTAGAAAAACATATTAATATAATTAAAAAATAAATTTTGTGTTTTTTTTTCTTTACAATAACCCATGTAATTATATAGTTTAGCTGAGATCGACACTTTAAAATAAAATATATATATATATATATATATACACTCTGAGTGTATTAACCACACAAGTGCTAAATAGGGCTAAATTAACCAACAACCTTTTGGAGGTACGTGCGCTGCCAAATCCTACACTACTAGTGAGGAAGACGTGGGCATTCATTTATATCAATGTCTTGTCTGAAGAAATGGACTCAGATTTCCACAGTAATAACCCGCAAGTAATGCCAAAACGATAGTAGGTGTACAGTGCCAGTATATGGGTTTCGTTATTGAGACCCACTTAATTGCCTTCATTATTAAGTGGAAGCATTCACAGCTATCCTATAGATTTTGCTTTCGAATCTAACGTCAATTTTGTCTTCCCATTGCTTATCAACAATAGAACTAACCAGAGCTTTTAAATCCAAACCAAACCAATTTGAGTTTTTTGTCTATATATTTCGTTGACTGTACAAAACACACTTGGATGATTAACTAGGAATAGCCAAGTGTTGCTTTATTCTGTCTTTCACAAAAAAGTATGCTCTATAATTAATTAACCAACTTTAAACCCTGTGGAATCATTGTTCATATTGTAAGAAGTTGAGCACAAATCACCCTTTTTTTTTTTCTTTCTTTTAGTTCAATGGAAGGCTTGTTACACGCTCCTTTTTTAAAAAAAAAATGATAAGCACCAATGTAACTAGAATATCCCATACACCAGTTAATCCATAAACCTCAGAAGCCTCAAACACCTATCTACCTTTCTTTTTTTCATATAATAGGAGTAGTTATTATTCTCAATGAAATAAAATACCTTTCTTTTTCTTTATATCTATCTACCTTTCTTTTTTCTATATAAGTTTTATTTAAGTGTTTTTTTTTTAAGATTTCATATCCATGCAGTTTTAATTACAAGTAATGTGCAGTTCTTTTTGTTCTTTTTTAATTACAAATAGTGCTATCCATTCATTTGTTTGAAATAAATCTCTACGCTATGTTTAATCAATAAAAATTATTGTTTTTTAAGAATAAACCAACTATTTACTATATAAACAATTAACCCCTACACGTCCACCAAACTATTATCACTTATATGAGTGATGAGTGACAAACTGGGCGGAGGAAAATAGCTGCTGCTTAGAATTCGTATCTTTTATTTATTATAAATATTGACGCACGTTATGATTTAGGACATGGACTAGCACCACAATCCAACAATACCCTCTATATATAGGATTCACATTCCAAACCCATTGACTATATTGCTTGCTCCTTTTGGGAATACTGAGATGGGTAGAAGTCCGAAAGAGGGACTAATTAGAGGAACTTGGACTGCCACTGAAGACGAAATTCTTACAGAATATGTTAGAAATCATGGTGAAGGGAGCTGGACTAAGGTTCCAAAGGAAACAGGCAAGTTAAACTTTATAAATTCTAATTAATTAATATTCATTAATTTTTTCTTTTCTTTTCTTTAAATGAAAAATTGGAGTAAAAGTTGTATGGTATGTACAATTGCATAACAAACTGTAAACATATGGTTATTGGTACAGGTCTGAGGAGATGTGGCAAGAGTTGCAGACTTCGTTGGTTGAATGATCTAAAACCAGATGTTAAAAGAGGAAACATTAGCCCAGATGAAGAAGATCTCATTATCAGGCTTCACAAGCTCTTAGGCAACAGGTTTCCCCTCATCATAATTTGATTAATCAACACCAGCTAGCCTCTCTAAACAATATTTTTTTTAAAACATGATTAATTGTTCTACTAATTTTCACTATTTTTCTGTGTACGTAGATGGGCTTTAATAGCTGGAAGGCTTCCAGGTCGAACGGACAATGAGATCAAGAATTACTGGAATTCAACCGTGAAAAGAAAGGTACAAGCTAACAATCAGAAACAGCCCAGGAGAGCGAAGAAAGTTGCAAAAAAGCAAACCAGAAAGACCTCATCAGCATTAAACAAGGTGTCAATAAGCACAAACAATAGTCTTCCTTCACCACCAGTATCAGCTGAACATAAAGAGACTGATCAGATTCTCAGAGTACCCTCAATTGAAGAAGGAACCCTGGAAAAATATCTGATAGAGGACTCCAACTCAAATGATGAGCTTTTGCTATTTACTAATGACAATGCTGTGCCTTGCAACTTGATGGATTTTGATATGGGGCAGATGAGCTTATCTTATTTTCTCCAGACTGATATCTCCTCTAACAGTAATAACATCCATGTTGATGGGTCTTCACCTTCTTCTCCAGATGTAGCTTCTTTGTTCCCTGAGGCTATGCTGACGAATTGGACATATGAGGATGGCTTTGAACTTGAGGAGGCTATGGGTCCTTGATCACTGCTTTCTTTTTATTCAAATTCAAGGCGATTAGCATGTCAGCTTCTTCTTTATCATTATCCTTATCTTGTTCCAGGTTATTAATTGAGACTAAATAATGGGAGCAGACATCCCTTATTCCCTTCGCCTGCGTCCATTTTTCTCAGCATTTGAATATAAGAATTCCAAGTAGAATATGCTGGATTGTCCCTATATGGAAGAAAGGGATTGGCATGCTCCAATTTCCAACCGTAGTTATTTAAAGCTTAATGTCCTAATTATGGATTGGTATTTATTTTTATCTATCATAGTTTATCATGTCTTTTAAATTAAACTGTTAAATTACAAACCTCTCCATTTTTTGTCGTATGGTCTATGAAAATTGAGCTATCTTCATGTTAGGAGTGACGTAATCTACCATATTGGATAAATACAGACCATTAATTTTAAAATTAATGGTTTGGAGTTCTTTATATAAAAAAATTAATTACTAATTTTAAAAATCCATAATCAATATCAAGATCATTAGTATGAATTTACCTATCATGATGAACCATATAACTTAAAGAGAGTCAAATCTGATTTATACCTAAAGTTCACCGAATGTCTGAATGGCCATTGCCAGTCAAAAATTACCAACCCACCTTCCGGTTGGTCTGGCAGAGGACCAGAGGGCCCATGGCTTGAGCACGAATTCGGGAGTTCAGCTCCAATGGAAGTTCGACCTAAACCAACCACCACCCCCCCCCCCCCCCCCCCCCCCCCCCCACACACACACACACACACACACACACACACACACACACACAAAGAATAAATGAGAGACTGTAGGTTGAAATTTTATTGTTTTAGGGTATGACTCTCGAATTAAGATTGATAATTGAATAATTTTTAATCTAAATTGATTTATTGTACGTTTAAATCAATAATAAATACTTGCAAAATAAGTTCTCCTTTGATATTTGAAAGATCATTCAATTTATAGAGAGAATTGTATTTCCAAAATAGACTTTAAGAAATTTTACTTTTATATGAAAAAAGATATATATATATATATATATATATATAAAAGCTTAAAAGGCAAAACCAATAACCTTTGGTGTGTTAACTTTTCATTACAATAAAGCTGAAAAATAGCAATAGATTTTAACAACGGATACAAACCATAGCTAAATAATGTGTAAATGGTGATCGAATAACGTCCTTTTTGATTTAGCAATAGAATAAAGAAGGTGTGACAAAGGATTATCAACGATGAACTTAATTTTCATCGTTATTTGTGATGCCAAAATATTTTTGAGGTTTTTGGAGATAGATTAGAGACAAATTTGCTAAAGAAATTAGCAACAAATTTATGTTCCATTGCTATTTTAAATGTTTTGATTTAGCAAATCCATCATTAAATTTGAAAAAAAAATTACATTGCCTTTTGAAATTAAATAGTCACTCATTTTGTGATGGAATAGCAACAGAAACATATTTTCATTGTTAGGAACGATTTCGTCACTAGTTGCCAAAAAAAAAAAAGACAATCTTTTGGAATTAATTGACCATCTATTTTGCAAAGGATTAGCGATGAAAAATTAAGTTTCATCATTGCATCCTCACTCTCCATCAATCCACACCCACTTCAAACTCCTTTCTCCCTAAAAGTACCTCATTTTTCCTTCTTTCTTCTCATTCTCTTCAAGTCCAAATTATTAAGTTTTCTCCCTCCCTCTCTCTCCCTCTTATTAATTGTTAGTTATTTTCATAATTATTAGGTTAATTTTAAATTTAATTAATTGATTTATACTTTTACATAGTTTTAATTGTTAATTTTTTATTAATTTGTTAAATTGTTATTTTTTATTAATTGTTAGGTTAATTTGTTAATTAATTGTTAGTTTGGTTTAGATTTAATTAATTAATTTGTTAGTTTTATATATATATGCTACAAAAGTGTACAAATAAAATTGAAGCAATGTATCAGTAGCACCCTGATGGAGCAGCTCAAAAAAATTTAAATAATTTTAGTTGCTAATAAATATAAAGGACTTTAAAAAAGAACAAAAGATGAAGATAGTTTAGCAAGAATAAGGCGTTATCTCAATCAAAATGCCTATAGAACTTTCAATTTTAAACTTGATGAGCCAAGTTGCTCGTGTTCCTTGTTGACGATGTAGCTCTCTGAGCTGGCATAAACCAAAATTTATTATTAAGTACTGTTCTCAAAAAAATATTATTACTACCATCATCGTCATCATAATCATTGAGTACTTTAAAGTTAATTTAATTATAATTTATTCCTTGTAGTCTATCAAAATAAATTAATTAATCCCTATAGTATAAAAAATTATAAAATAATTCTCTGATCATTGTTGACCATACTTGACTTAATAGTATTTTGTTTGAAAAAACCTCTTATTTTCTCTTCAATCTCTTCCTACATGATCTACTTCTTCTTTTCCTTTTCATATTTCTTAAAGAAAACAAAAAAAAAAAAAAGAATTAAAAAAGAACAAAAAAATACATGAAAAAGATTAAGTTATAAATGAATTTAAAAATATAAGAACTAAATATATAGTTTCTGAAACCATGATGACTAATTAATTTCTTTTGAATAACTACAAAGACCTAAGTTATAATTAACTCCTCTAAAGTTTAAAGGGCCAAAGTTTGAAGTCAAACATGGTGAAATTGTAGCACACACTTTGCAATATAGCACCATCACTACTAATAAAGCCATTGTAGCATACAAGAGGTGAATGAATCATAGAGGAAGGGATTGCAGCATACAAAAGGTGAATGAATCATGTAGAAAGACAATAAAGAATTGAAGATTTGAAGTAACGAGCAGATCAGGATAGGGAAGGTGAAACGTTCTTGAGGAAAAAATTAGCGAATGGTCATTTGAGATTCATCCTTGGGAAAAGTATCTAAAAATAAGAGAGGAAATGTAGGATCTTAAATGACATCAACTTTGAGAAATTTAGCACATAAATCACATAATAGACTCAGCAGCACCTACATTTGAAGTGATCACCATCAATAACTATATTGAAATGATTTCCATTCAAATTTGGCAAACAAACTTGGAAAATGATAATAACTGCATACCTTCTGCTGCTTATAAACCAGTTACGTCTAATTCAAAATGAAACGAGTAGTAGCTTAGATGACATTCATGTTGACCATCCAAGGGAATGTTCAAAATGCGTCCTCCTCCAAAACCCACTCTAACAACCGACTATATCGCTGAGTAAAAAGAATCTGTTTCTAGTACGATCAGTCAGTTTCAGCAAAACTTAAAATTCTAGCAGAAAGAAGCTAAAATACTATTTGCCTCGTATTCATCTAAACTCTCAAGAAGCACCACCTTCTTGCAATGAAAAACTAATGCACCTGGTATTCTATCCCATAACTCTCAGCCTCAATTCTCAATTTCTTCATCATCCCCACCAGCATCGTTTCTTCGTTCACCATCCTTCTGCTTATCATCTCTGTAAACTTCTATATCCCGAACACTGCTTCCTTCTTCAGGTTCTGCATCTTCGTCAGTAATTCCATCAAACTCAAATCTCGAAGAGCCTATTTCAGCAATTTTTATGTTCTCACCGGGGGGTTTGTTATAGATGCAAGGTGGTCTCTCCTGACAACAAAGGCTTCTAAAAGCTCTGTATAGCCTTGTTTTTTTATGCCAAACTCAAAGCCACTTGCTGGCATATAAGTAGTGTTGGGAGGATTGTTAATGAGAGTTCCCGAGTATAGTTGATCTAATTGATTAAAATATGAGCAGGTTCTGGATCGCTCAGACCTCCTCTTAGGACTTTCTTTGGCTTTTCTAAAGTATTTGTTGATGTTCTCCCACTTTTCTTTGCACCTTTTGGCACTCCTTTGATAGCCCATTGAAATCATTAAAGAACTTACCTCTTCCCAAAGAGGACCCTTCAAGCCAGGTTCTTGAAACTTAATCTCTATTCTACTTCTAACTTGGATCAATGCCTCAACTTCATCTTTAGGCCATCTGCTATGGCTGTCAGCTGTTTTCACAGGTGTAATTTCTTTGATGGGCTCATTTGAAATTTCTGGTTGCAGCAATGATGGAACCATTCTAGTAGGAAGATTGATACTTTGGCCAGTGATTTTCTCTATGTAAGAAACAATTTGAGCCTCTCTACTTGAAGCTGAAGCCAGTTCATGTGCTCTAGAAATGGCTTCTCTGTTATTCTTTGCAGCCTCTTGGCGTCTCCATGTTTCTTCTCTCTCTGCCCTCTCTGTGTCCATCCTCTCAATCACTTCCAGGAACCTCCTATGCAACAATTCTTGGTGATCCATCACTTTCTTCACCGTGTTCTCAAAGAACCTAGCCATGTAGCTTAATTTCTCCTTCAATTTCCTCTTTCTCTTCCTCTTTTGGCTCTTCCTCAAGGAAGCTTCCTCTCCAATTGAATTCTCTGACCCATGATCCGCCCCAATCACAACATTGGCAGCACCATTGGCACCAACATTTTGCCCATTTGTAGCACTAGAAGGCATTGAAAGACCCGCATTCGTTGGCGAATTGTCGCCTGTGAGAACAGAACCAGAGCCTGCTTGAATATTAGCTTCAGCAATCTTTGCAAGGCTATAGATAGCTTCTAGCTCATTAAAGAGAGGAAATTTGCTGTCCAAATTCTTGCATCTCTCACTACTTTCATCCACTACTTGTTCTATCTGTAAAGGCCTAAAGTAACTAATCTTGTTTCCATTAGTTTCACGCTCTTCACTTCCACTCCGCTGCTTATCTAGTTGTTTCCTGTAACATTTACACAAACACATAGCTGACGACCTGGTACCCACTTTAAAAATAGTAGAATAAACAAAAAGCCTAAGTGATTATTAAATGGTTAGCCATGAATTACCAAAAGGGTTCTTTGATAGTGGTAGAATCTTCCTGGGGATGCCAAGAATGAGGCATTAAAATGGCATGTGGTGGATTACTATGCACGTTCCCATCAAGAAATGTAGTCGTAGTGGTAGTAGTACAGACAGCTTCTTCTTGATTATTCAAAGCACCTGCCTTTTTGCTGGCAATATATTCATTGCGTCCCAACTTGAAATTCGCAGAAAAGAACGATGGGTTTTGAGGTATGCCTTGGCCATGTTGTTGTTGTTGTTGTTGAAATGGATAAAACAACTGGTGGTGTTGCTGCAAAAAAACCTGATGTGGGTGTTTATGTTGTTGTTGTTGTTGCTGCAAGTGGGGCTGGTAAGGATGGTTTAAATTTTGAAGATTGGAAATGGGTAAAACTGATGGTGAGCAAAAACAATCATCTTCCATCAAATGTTGTTGCCTTTGTTGTTGATGATGATGGATGTTCGACCGTCCATAGCTAGGCTGCATTTTTTTCTTTTTGAGATGGATTGTGACCAGAAGGAGTAGACTGCAGTAGTCTTTGTTTCTTTGATTTCTGAGAAGAGGAATGAGAAAAAGAAATCCTAAAAACAGGAGAAGTTACGGGGAGACGTTGATGCTGCTTTGATTAGATTAGACCGATCGAAAACCTAGAGACTAGCTAGAGAGTAAGGAGGTGTAGAGAGAGAGAGAGAAAGAGAGAGAGGCTGTTACATGATAGATGGAATACGTCATCTTTCCAGTTAGGGTTTTATTGGTTGGCAAACCCCCTATCATATGGCCAGTAGATAATCCATAAGCATTTATAAGCTTTGGTACTTTTTGTTTTACGAAACACAAAGATTTAAGATTTAAACATCGGACCATTAATTAATGCTTCATCTAACTCCCATCGTTTTGAACTTTTATTTTATTTTTTTTCTCTTTTGAGAGAACTCTCAAACTCTTCCATAATATTTGATTTTTTTTTTTTTTTTTTTTTGTGTAAAAGTGCGTAACATTTCCATTCAAATCGTGTTTTTTTTTTTTTTTTTGACAGTGGAGATGCTTAAACTTAAGATCTTTTAAAAGAAAGAGGATTAGATGTTAGATAAAATATAAATTTATTAGGGAGCAAGGAATAATGCACTTTGACAAAAATTAAAGGAAAAAAAAAGTGCATCTTTGCTTGGTACCATTTGGAATTAGTTTGATAATAGTTAGTTACACTACGAAAGAAATAGTGTTATAATGTGGTGGTAAACTGAGTTCTTCCTAAACAATGTTGAAATCACCGGTAGTTGTTCTAAAAAAATAACGTTATTTTTTTAATTTAAAAAGAAATTAATTTTAAAATATTCAAAATAAATAGTAAATGCTCAATGCTTTTTATGTAAATAAATAATTAATTTTTAATAAAATTAATAATTTAATATTTTTTATATTATAACTATACTAGTGGTTTTAGAATCTACAACATAAAACGAAAACCATTTTTTAAAAAAAATAAATTACTTGTAATGAATATATTGAATAAATTTAAAATTAATAGATAAAAATAAAAATAACAAAAAAAATTGATTTTCATAAATTTTAATTACATAAAGAATGAGCAAATAAAACACGTGAATTTTATATTTTTTTCTTTATAAATATTTTCTCTACTCTTAGGCTATATGGCTAGTTTTTGTGTATAGGCTTCGCATGCAAAGGAATTCTTCCCCTCCCCCTCTTTTTTTTTTTTTTTTTTTGTATTTGAATTTGAATTATTAATTAATTTTTTAAAAAAATTCTAAGATAAATTATTTGAAAAATCTTTGCAAGTCTCATTTAAAAACTACAACAATTCATCATATAGACTATATTACTTTATTTTAAAAAAAGAGAGAATAATAATGATTAAAATTTTATTCTAAAATTCATAGATAGAGAAAAATAAATCATATTTGTTCGTAAATAAAAATTTTTTAAAAAAAATTAAAATTTAATGAGATGAGAATTCCATAATAAATGACAAATTGAAGAATTAAATGTTAGTAATAAGAGTAATATAATATAAAATATGTTAGTGTAAGTGCCCAAAATTCAACTTTTTTCAATGGTTTAACTTATTATAATATTGCATTCTTTATTTAATTAATAAAAGAAGTCTTTCTATTAATTTTATCGTTTATATTTTGATAGAATTAGATAAAAGTCCATATGATATGCATTGCATTAATGATTGATCGAAAGATGTGAGAAAAACAATAATGCACTTAAATGATATTATTAAATATCCTAAGTCATAGCGTTGTCAAGAATAGACATTGACTATATGTGGTAAGACTTGTGAGTCCTATGCTCATGGTATAAGATAACGATAAGAGATCACACACTTATTGGCATGGTAATGCCAAAGTAAGCACTTAGATGATTAATGTTAGAGAACATGTCACTAGATGTGATTTGTCATAAGAACTCATTTAGTTTAGTGCATAAGAATCTCATACGAGATAGATACAACTTATCCTTTGACTTGAAGCCATTACGATTATCTCATTATAGGATTTATGTAGTTTGATACTCGTTTTGATAGGCTCAATCAAGAGCTACATGTGAGTGATTCGTTGAGTGCATTAGGAATCTAATTGAGATAGATGAATGACTAAGATATGACATGTCATTCTTTGTGCGCTAAAAGAGCTATCACGTTGCACTTCAATAAATGTCGGCTCAAGTATTATGTGGCCACAATAGGAGTATACCAATAAAGCATAATTGGTTTACTCTAGAGCGAAGATATTTAGGAATCGAATAAAATTTATATAATCATAATCGAATAGACTATAAACCAAGTTCAAGATCATACTCGTAATAAATTGACATGAGGATCGAATTGTATGGTAACCATGCTCATAAAAGGTAATTACGAATTAATTAATCCTCCTAGAAAATTGGATAGTCATAATACCTTGCTAAAGGCTAATCTTGATTTATATATCAAAAGATAAAAGAGGTGTCCGTTATTCTTGATACATTGTCGACGTATCTAAAAGCCTATTGAGTTATACGTATAAGTTTAAGCATTCATATAATAAAAGAGAAGCAAAAATGTTAGAAGAAGTTTATAGTTTTGAAAGTTTCCTATTTTGGAAAAAGTTTTCTAAAATAGAAAGTTTTTTATTTTAGAAATCAGTTTCAAATTTAAAAGTCGATTACCTAAAAGGAAAATTAATTTCCTAATTTAGGTTTAAGGGTAATTTGAAAATTATTTCCTAATGTGGGCTCTACAAAAATACTTGACCAAATTTATTAGGATAGTCCAAATTAATTGATAATTAATTGGGCCAAAAGAGTTTGGGCCAATATGTTTAATTTAAAAGCCTACAAGATATTTTGGTGAGATGATAAACTTGAGCCCTATTGGATAAGGCTTAGCATTTACAAGAATAAGATCAAACAAGCTCACACATGTTACAACTCTTTGTCCTTAGAGGATAAGGATGCCGCCCCTCATATAAATAAAGAGAGAGAGGCAAAAAAGGAAAAGAGAGAGAGAGAGAGAGAGAGAGAGAGAGACATGATAAAAGAAAAAAAGAACATGTTTCTTTTCCAAAAGCCTCGAGTTGTAGTAAAAACCCTAAGTAATTTCTTTATAAAGCAAATCAATTATACATAAGGATTAGAACTAGCACTCTGTAATTTTTATGGCTTCCTTTATAGGTGTTTAAGTCTGTATAGATTATCGATAGAGGCTGAACACTTGAACGACTCTTTTTGCAAAGGCTAATTACGTGTTACAAGAGGTAAATTTTTACTCACGTATTTAATTCATGCATGTATGATTAGTTGATTCAACGGTTTGATCTTGAAAGCCTTAGATGGAGAAAATTTTTATTTTATTTCATACTTTCATAGGATACATGATCCTTTAATTGGTATCGAGTCTCTATTAAATCTTCACTTATATGCTTTATTAATTATGATTAACTACATGAATTATTAATTTTTTATTATAAATCTAATATTTTTGGTATTTTATAAATATTTAAAACTGATTTTGGACTAAGAAAACGGTAGGTGTGCGTGCTTACTAACCAACCAATTATGCGTTAAGCACGTGACAAGCTAGGCATTCCTTCTATAAACCGAGGCCTTTTGGCTAGCCGGTTGTGTGCTAGGTACACGATAGGTAAAGCCGGTCATGCGCTAGGTGCATGACACATTAAGCTTCGTTAGGTAGGCCAATCGCACGTTAGGCACCCGACATAGCAAACATACGCCGGACGAGCTCCATGCAAGACGCATACTAGGTATGCACTAAACATATGGGAAGGGCAAGCGCATGTTGGGCATGCGCCAAGTCTATGGCCAAGCTAAACGTGCTTTGTGCATGTCAAATACACACTATGTGTGTACAATGGCCAGTATACCTAAGCTAGGCACACAAGTATGCCGGATGTTAAGCTAGACGCGCGTGAGCACACCAAGCCAATTTGTGCCGGGCCGGTGCCCAACTAGCCAAGGCTTGTGCTAGGCACTAGCTAGTAACAATTGCCGACCAATGCTAAGGTGTGGTAGCACATGAGCTTTTTAAGCCCAAAAGCCTATAAGTCCGAAAAGTCCGAAAATTTAAATTTAGAGAAATTTTAATATTTTATAAAATGACCAAAAACATATATTTATAATTATAATTATAATAAAATATTATTCATTAGTATGATATGTATCAATGTGATTGAAGCATAGGTAAATGATATAAATGAGTCGATCCAGTTTTTGGAATGTATGTTTGCAATTTAGTTAAATAAGACTCGCTTATTTTATCTTCTCTATTATTCTAATGTATTTCTCTTCTTATCTTACTCTTCTGAATATAACTTGAGGTTTCTTATTCAAAGAAATAGAAAAATAGAAGATACAATATTATAATAGATATAAGGAGAAAAGCCAAGAAGAAAAGACAATCCTAAAAAAATTATAATAAATTTTCACCTATGTACCCTATTAGTCTTCTTATGGCTCAAGAGAACTAATAGTAGAGATCTATTACCACTCATCGATCCTAGAGTCATACATGAGATGTATGTATTTATTGTATGATTGATAGTATGCATGATATGATTAATGTAATTGATGACTAGTATGCATACTAAGATAAAACCTCTCATAGTAAATTCTTTAAACGTTGATAGCTTGTTAAGATAACTCAAGTTCACTTCTTCCTTGAGGGAATCAAATCATAGGCCATGTGATGCCTCCGAATGTTTGGATCTAACATAAGATGAATTATTGAGCTTGTTGAGATAACTCAAGACCCATCGAATTTATAGACAAAGATTGGTATTCACATAAGATGTAAGATGATAAGGAGTTATCATACCAATGAGATTAGAAATTATATTAGATGCAATTGGTAAAGATTTATCTATCTAATTCTTTATATATGACTTGTTAAGATAATTCAAGATTAATACATGTTAGAGGATGAGATCTTAACCCACTAGGAAAAACGAATCAA